TCTTGCACGCAGCAGTTTAACACTGTTCGCATCATAATGGAAATTAGAGCTTTACCTCTTAAGTAAAGGAAGTTTTTCAGTTCCCTGTTAGATCCATCATACACTTTGAGCCATGGGTGGTTTTATAGCAATAAGTCACCTTGTTTAACAAGAAAGAATGTCAATACATTTCTTTTTCAGCTTCCAAAGAAACTGCGAGGGGCAGGCTGCAAAACTGGTACCTAGTTTCATTGCTGTGCATGATATTTTTGTGTCTCTGTGTTTCCTCATCTGCAGATGAGGAAACTTGTGACACATTTCACAAGACTTAGTTATTTGAGATGTGTTTAAAGGCCTGGTTTTTGTTTTTTAATATAGGATCCCTTCGTACTGCTGACCTTAAACTTCCTGGTGGACAGTGCTGGCACGAACAAGATATGACTACAATCAAAAGTAAACAGCTGCCTCCTGCTGGGTACTGCTACTGCTCAATATAATTAGGCTTTTTCAGGAAATACACCCTAGGGAATGGCCCAACACAAGAGAAAGACAAAGCACAAAGACTCATCCCACCCAGTATCTATCTGGGGTATTGATTTCTGCTGAGAGATAAGTCTCATTTCAGTCTAGTCCAATTCTCGTACACAGAACGTAGCAGCTTCCTTATGCGTTGTCCAAGCTTCACTGCTGTTCTTCACCACCTTCTGCTTCCAGCACAGCCTGGCCCAGTAGCCCTTCCCTGCCTTCAAACCTCTTTGCAGGCTTTCAGGAACCCCATTTGTTTTGTGCTCTATTGATCTTTTTTTCTTTTTCTTTTTCTTTTTCTTTTTCTTTTTCTTTTTCTTTTTCTTTTTCTTTTTCTTTTTCTTTTTCTTTTTCTTTTTCTTTTTCTTTTTCTTTTTCTTTTTTTCCCCTCCACTTGTATGGAGGTTTCTGCTCCTTCAGCCTCTCCCACCAGTATGAAACATCTCCCTTAAACTGGCCTATATCTTCCCATCCCTCCCACATGCATCTGTCTACCAGAGCCCATATGCCACAGTCACTTAATGGTAAATTCAGAAAGGACTATGCCTTGAGCCAAGAAAAAGTTTGGAAAGGCATTCAGATATCTGCTCTATCCTTTATTTATCATAAGCGTAAAAAGTAACGGTCCTTTCTTATAGAAAGAGATAGTGAAATACTAAGAGTCCAAAGCATTGCACTACTGAAGAGCTTGGACCACAGTGTTACTCTGAAGAACCAAAAGAAAGCCAAAGAGGTAAGCAAAATAATCAGGAAGGTAGTTACAGGTGGTACCTGAGGAAATGTTCCCTTGTTAGTGTGGTGCAGCTGTGGGACTGGCCCAAAGAGTTGGAAAGAGATCACCACCCGTGATGGCATCACCACCAGCACTGAAAAGGCCCTGCACAAACCTATGGGGCTCTGACGTTAACTCTGCTTGGGTCGAGAGGCCAGACAGACCTTCCCAGAGGGTCCTCCAAGGCTAAATCTTTCTCTGATTTCATGATACTAGGATTTGATGGTTGTGCTTCTATGCTTCTCTGACCTTATGTTAATTCCAAGCATAAAGCTCCAGTCAGGGCTGAGAAGACTGGAAAGCTGTGTTTTACTGTATTGCTTTGATGCCTCGTAGATTAGCCAAAGCTCGACAGAGGAGGTGGCCAAAGGACACGAGACTCCTAGGCGGTATTCCAAGCCTTGCCACTGGTGTCTCTTGCTCACCTGTGCAAACTTAGTATGAGATTTGAAGGCAGAATTTCAGTGGGGTGTTCAACAGCTGTGGACTGTGGGAAGTCACTGATCAAATACATGGACTGCTTTCCTGGACTAAACCCTTACTGACCAAGGGTCATATTCTGCTGCTGCTAACCAAGAAGCAGATCACGGTCCATCAGCGTGCAACAGCAGCACACACTACTAGACCAGGGGGAACAGATGTGTTTGGCTCCCATGTACAGTTTGAAAGGCAGTTGCTAGAGGAGGTTTGGGTGAGAAAAGACCCTTCAGACAGTAAAATTATTCTTCAGACAGAAGGGAGCTGGCGCAAGTAAGCAGAATCAGACCAACATTGTTAACAGAGCGATGCTGTCGCATGGACATGTTAGCACAGGATTTATCGTCTCCTCTTGGGGTGACAATGTCAGAGCAAGAAAGGAAGCAGGATGAATCTTCTACAAACAGTAGCAAGCAACTCCTGCCACTAGTAAAGCTCTTTTATAACCACAAATGCCTGGGAAAGTAGGTTGACCTTCTAAGCTCTTGGGAGCAAGACCAGAGCCTAGGGCCCTCTGCTCCCATGTGCCACACGTTCAAGCCGCTCTAGCTAAGCGGTATCTTGTGCTTGAGAGAGTACCTTTAGCCACCAGACACTTACATGAAGGTAGAGAGATTTGTAACCATCTTCTGGCTTGTGAAATCTGGCTGAAGTGTTTCTTGACATATGAAGAGGGAAGTGCCAGTAGAAGGAAAGCAGAGCCCTTCTAGCTTGCTGCTTCCGGCCTTGGAACTCCTGAAATTGTCCTGGGTTACTATCTGGTTTGTACCCTGCCCTCGGTGGGTGATACCAAGGATACTACTTCTCAGGAAGAGGAGAATCACGTACCTTCACCCTTTTAAAAGTTGACATGATGAAGTCATTGTCCCACGAGGCTATTTGGCGAAAATGATTTCCTGCACGGTCCTATTCTGAGTAAAATGAAGTTAAATATTTATTGATAGGACACTAGAAATGTTAGGGCCTGGGAGCATGCAAGCTGTGTGTGAACAAGGAAGTGAGCAGTGGATGATGCTATCCGAGGAAATCATAAACCAGAGCTATGCAAATTATTGTGTGGTTAGGAGGCTTTGGTCTTACCAAATCACAGCATCCATGGAAAAGGTGAAGGGAGTGGTGACACCACTGACACATATGGGTAGGGCTGGCTAAAGTCTTGACCCAAAGCAGAAAGATGTGGTAAAATTTATAAGATGGCAGCCAGAAGGACTCCCAGGATCTTTCCTGGTCCTTTATCAGACTGGGAGGATGGATATGCCAGATTCCACTATATTTATATATCTTCCCGGGGGAGCATTTTGTGAACTGCCCATGGACAAGCCATGTGATGGAACACTAGAAATCCAAACACAGCCAAGGATCTTATTTTAGGGAGGTGGAAATTGTTTAAAAATAGTGATTGTTGATACATATTTTAAGCTGTGGGCCTGTAGTGAGAGACTCTTATTCTTGGAACAATTCCTCTTGAGATAAAAATCATTTGAGGGCTTGTCTAGGCAGAGAGATAACATCTGAGAAATGTTAACATCTGGAAAAGGGATGAGAATGTCAGAGATGTGCTGTATGTGACAGTACCTCGCAAGGAAACACAGAACTGCCTTCTAGGGTAAAACACTGGGGGACATAGAAATAGCTACCTGCAGTGTGACACCAGGAGAGCTCCTGCTTGGGGACCACCACGGGTTTCCACACCTCAGTTGGTCCAAAGGATCCATCTTCAAGGTCTTGTTGTGGGCCCACTAATACCTCATCTGCAGTTCCCTCTACATCCAAGAGCATCCCCATGAGTCCTCTTCCTGACCAGGAAGCATTTGGCACAGGCCTGAGCTAACACTCCTGCTTAGAGCTCTGGTTCTGCAGTAAGGCAGAGCACACCAACGTGATGCTACAGACACAGGTCAGGCTCACACTGCAGGGCTGAAACCAGGCAGATCAGAGCTGAAGATGACTCTCGCTGACCGGTTCCAGATGAGCTCTCAACGCTCTGCAAAGCACTTGGCAAACAAAACTCAGATAAGAACACAAAGGATTATTATTACCTCCAATTCCCCGAGTTCTTGGCAGAGAAATAGTTTGAGCTTCTGCGACAAAATCATGAAAGCGTTTAAGTTGTAGACTCTTTGTGGGGTTTAGAAGGAAGCCTGCAGACCTCAGTAACTTATTCCTAACTGGACTTGCTGGACACGTTGTCGGTCTTGTACTAGTAGCCTACTAGTAGCAGGCAGTCTGGCCCTCCTGAGCCTTGGATGTGAAGAAATACTGGAGGAATCCTAGAATCCTTAAGGTTGGAAGGATCCTGGCCTTCTGGAAGGGCGGAATAGTAGAACTAGTAGGGCAGTGAGATTTCCCAGTGATTTGCAAGCTGAGCACAGAGCCGGACAAGACCGATAACTTGTCGTGAGTCCAGTTAGGATGTTAATTGCCAATCTGTTTCAAGGAAAAGAAAGCGAGCGCATTCAGGAGGAGATGGCTGTTTCCTGCCTTTCCTTAATTTGCGGAAATTTAGATATTCCTGCTCCGTCCACTTAAGCGGAGTATGCAGCAGGGCTTGTATTGCTGTGTAAACACCCAGCGACGTGCTCCATCAGAGCTTCCCTTGTGTACACAGGCTCCTGCCCTCGCAGCCACCGCAGGGACTGCGCCTAGCCACTAATTTGATGTTGACGGCCGTGCAAATAAACAGACTGAGCAGTGACAGGCACAGCCCGCCCTGATGGGGAGCAGAGAAACGTCTCTGTCCGTGCTGCTCTTGGAGAGAGTCTAAAATGTGCTTGCTAGGGGGAAAGGAAATACATAGGTATCCATATTCGTGCAAGCAGGAAAATACACTGTGTGGCGGCAATAACAATTTTTTTGTTTGTTTTAGCCAATTCTGGACATTTTGCATGACATACCCTGTAGATTTTTTTTTTTCCCAAGAAACTCATTTTTGGGAAATTTTCAACCCAAACCGCGCAGGGCAAAAAGGAGCTGACAAACTCCTGAAGAGCTTTGCCAACGCTGTTCTTGGAGAGTCTCTAACTGAAAATCCCTTCTTACGGCTAAAACCCAGTACCAGCAGCAACAAGCTGCGCTCACGGCCGAGCTGCCCGTGTTCAAACCACGCTACCGCCCCGGCCGATGAAGCTCCTTCCTCATGGCTAACACGGCCGTTTGCTCCGGGGAAGGGGGGTCTGGGGCCAGCCCTGGCAGCTCGGTGCCGCGGGGCGGTGCCGCGGGGCCCTGCCGGCAGCGGCGGCCCTTGGACCCGAGCGCGCCGAGCCGCTCCGAGCATGGCGGCGCCCACGCAGAACCTGGCCGTGGTCGTGCACCGAGCCGGCGACCTGCGCCTGGTACGGGGCTGTGCCGTGGGGGACGCGCAGCGCCGGGCGCCGCTCGCCTCGGCCCGGCTGTGCTCAGGCCGGGCCCGCGCTGCCGCCCTGCTTGGGCCTCCCGGGAGGCCGCGGCCTGGGGCTGCGCGCGGGGCTCTGCGGTGCGCAGGGGGACCCGGTGCCGCTGGGTGAGGGGCCTTGTCCCCTGGGGACGTGGGGCGGCCATGGCGGCAATCTGCTGAAGCGCCCCAGCGTGTGGGAGCGGGGACGCGAGGTGCCTGCGGGGCTCCCTCCGCTCACTGCGTGCAGGCGGGCATTGGGATCCACCTTGCTGCAGTAGGTTTTCCCAGGAAGGAAGGCTTAGCAGAGAGCGAGACGTATGGCCTCTTTCTGGTTTCCATCCTTTCTTTCCCTTATCATTCATGCCATGAGCAGGTGCAGTGCGAATTGAAAGCTAATAGCATTACTTTAAATGTAATTTACAGTATTATTTATAATTTATTTATATCATAACCATTTTATAATAATCATTTATATTATTAATATTATAAGCATAAAGATATTAAAGTTTCCTCTAAAAATACTGTTTAAAATCTTCCCTGGTTGCAGAAGACAAATATATTTTTAAATTGCAGTATGAGTTGTGCTTACAGATTTCCCTGGGGTAACCTAGACTGACTTTGCACAAGGCATTCCCATAGTTTTGCACATGTTGAACCATTTTTTTCTTCATTTCCTCACAGGAAAATCGTCCCATCCCAGAGCCAGGTCCCAATGGTAAGCCTAGAGACTGCTTCTAGTTCCCAGTGTTATTTACTAATCTGTTTCCTTTTCCCATTCTCTTCAGCTGCTCTGTGATGCTATAAAACAGATAAAATATTTCTGTGGAAATATAAAATAATCTAGAAACAAACACACAACTGGAGTAGGTCATGCTGTGTATTCCACTTGAAAAGAAAAGCTGGAGCAATCAAAGATATATCTCATTATCTGGTTTTTTTTCCCTTCTTTTTTTTTCCTTCCCGTTTCATTAATTATGTATTTCACATTACACAGTTTTTGGGTCAGGTCAAATGATCTTATTCAAAGAGTAAATAAGAATGAAGTATGAACTGTTACGAGTTGGAGTCACTAGCTCTGTCCATGCCTGAAGTCCTAAATTAGGGAAAAGGAGGGATTAAGTGCAATTGCTCTCCTGTTCTTGCTCAAATAATCTTATTTAGTAGCCATATCCCTATTAGATTTTATTAGATTTAATAGGGTTCCTTCTGCATTTTAAGCTCTCCTCAATTGCAAATCCTCATATAATTCCATATTTCAGTAGGAATCTCATGAATATGCCTTCTTTCCAAAAGCATGTATATGCAGTAGCTTTATTTAAAACTAGTAAATTTGCATGTTGCTGATTTGGTCTTGATTGGGGGGCACTGGGACAGCAAACCCACCCAAGCAGGTGATTTTTTTTCTCCACGGAAACTTTCTTCTGTTTTTGGCAGAAGTCCTGCTGCGGATGCATTCCGTTGGGATCTGCGGGTCTGACGTTCACTACTGGCAGCATGGGCGGATTGGGGATTTTGTTGTAAAGGCTCCCATGGTGTTGGGGCATGAAGCTGCTGGGACCGTTGTCAAAGTGGGAGCAGGAGTAACTCATCTGCAGCCAGGTGACTGGAATCAAATCCCTCCTTTTGTTCTGTTTTGTTTTCCTGTTAATCGGTTCTTGAGCAGGAGTTGCTGACAGGTAGCACTTCTGTGTAATGTTTATTTATCTGGTGTTCAGAGCTGCGAGAGTGACTGTGTAACGACCTCCTTCAAAGAATGTTGCTGCACGACTGGGGCTGAGGGAACTAGGTGCCAAGGACCTAGGAGACCTGCTATCCTCCTTGGCAAAGAGTGCTGTGGATGCTAAAGGTTCATATAGTGGAAGGTGGAAAATAAATCTATCGTGGGTTACTAAATACAGAGAAATCACATCTGGCTTGGGAGATCCTTGAGCTGAGTATCACTGAAGGCCTGGAGAACACTAAATGAAATAACTGCTTGTGCTTGTCCTGCTTCTCTCTCCCAGACATCTGATGGTCAAATCAGAGCCAAGGCTAGAGAGATCCATCCTCCCTTTTCTACATTGCCTGTATTATGTCCAGTGAGGGCTTTTGTTGGACAGCTTCACCACAAGATTTGTCACTGAATGATTTCCCATGCCAATTAAAAAGGGTTCTATTGTGTACTCTGTGTACTTGCAGCTGTACTTCGCTCCCACGCTTGTTTTTTCAGTCCACCCTGCCTCACCATTTTGGGTAAACAGTTACTCCGTGTCCTGCTGCGTGGGGCTTTGTAGCGGCCCACACTGCTACATCAGAGCACACAAGAATTTCTGTTCCCCAACAAATCCTGCCTGATTCCTGAGTGTGCTTCGTTCCCTAATGTTAGCTGTCTTCCCGAGGAACAGCTCTTTAGAGCTGGCAGCTTGGTAGCCAGCAGAGCTCACCTGCCTTGTCCTGATTGTTTGCTATTCCACTTTCTAGAGCTTCTGAAAGAAAAATACCCAATCCTGTGTGAGTGTGGGATTCCCAGAAATGAGGGCTGCCTCCTCAGAGGAAAGGGGAGAGCAAAAGCTCAGTACAAGGCAGCAGGAGAGAGGGCTTTTTTGTAACTAAGCCTCCACCTGATGTGTATCTGTGTCTCTGAAACACCATCTCTTTTCATGTAATTATGAAGATACTAGTGAGGAGGCCTCTGCAGAGGAAGTGCTAAGAAGTTTCTTGGTACTTGTAGCATGATCTTTTTCAGGAAGTGCTCTTATTCATCTCTTTTGCTGGGTTTTCATGCTCTCTGGCTTGGCGACACCTCCCTGCTCGGCTTTTCCTCAGGTAACACACTCTGCTTTCACCTTGGCAGGTGATCGAGTGGCCATTGAACCGGGCGTTCCAAGGGAAATAGATGAGTACTGCAAAGTTGGACGCTACAACCTCTCTCCAAGCATCTTCTTCTGTGCGACGCCTCCTGATGATGGGAACTTGTGCCGCTTCTACAAACACAGTGCCAGCTTCTGCTACAAGTCAGTCACTGCTCCTTTTGCAGAGGGATATGTGCTCGTTGGGGGAGGAAATTAGTTGAAGCAATCACCTCTTGGCCATTTTGAGCATTGCAGTGAGAGCTTTTTATTATAACACAACAGGTTCTGTCACTTTGTGATGTGAGAATATCATGTATAAGGCCTGGATGGAAGTTACTTTGTGAAGGGTTTGTTGGGCAGGTATCCCCACTGATACCAAACATAAACAAATAGTTCTTCCATGTTTCCTAGGAGGTCAACCATTGCTTTAACTTTTAATTGTTTTCCTTTTCCCATTTGCTTCCTGCTTTTGGTTTCTTTTCTCATTGCTCCTTGCCTTCTTACGACAGAACCAGAAGATCTTTGCCCGATTCTTTGTGCTGAGCAAGGTTTATTGCTGCCCTTTAGAAAATACTGCAAGTATCATTGATTACTGATACGTGCCTTTGTCATTTGAAACAACGTCTTCCTAGTTTAAGCAGAACAGGAACAGAAACCAACATCTTTGACAAGCTGTCTTTTGTGCACTACTGGGTAACCTCATTAAACCACCAGCAGTATAAATCTGTTCCATATCCAGCTCAGTGGACTTGAATATGCTCTTAACTGTGGCAGAACTTACTCATGTGCTTATCAGGAAGCGTATCAGTACTCTGGTAAACTAGAACACTAGAAATTGGGGCACATAGACTTCTGCGATATTATATCCTTGTAAGTGCAATCACACAAGGAGTTAGACGTAGTCTAAGGAAGTGGCCCTATGAGACTGCTCTGTCTCTGGAACTTAATCCCCCCTCAATCTCAGTGGAGCAAGTACTTCCATTAGCAGTCAGGGGAGAACAGCCAAATGTGCCAAACTGGTCTTTGGTACCTGTTCAATTGGTGTTCAGGTTCTGAAGGAGGTACATGGAAGCTTTTGATTCTCATGAAAGTCCTCAGGCAGAACACTCCTTTCTAAGCAGATCCCAGACATCTGCTGGAAGATTGAGATATTCTTCTCATGGACCCAACTACTCACTGTCTAGACTGATTTCCTCTGCTTTATTAAAATTTTTTTTTTCTGACTTTTCCCAATTATTTGCTTAGGAGGAAGTGACTGGTAGCTGGTTTCTACCTGCCCTCCTTCTTTCTTTCTTTCTTTCTTTCTTTCTTTCTTTCTTTCCTTCTTTCTTTCTTTCTTATTTGGATAAAAATGACTTTGGTTAAAATTTTCGAGCTTAATCAGTGAAACGCAGAGCTTGGATCTGCTGCTGTCATGGTCAGATAGGAAATGCCAAGACCAGCTGATGCAGAAGAGGTTCCCTGGCATGGGGTCACTCTGCCAGCACAGATAAATGTTGATGGCTAAACTCAGCGGGCTGTTAGATATATGGATGGGTTTTACGTGTCCTTCTGCAGCTGCCATGGGGACCCAGGACACCCTGTGTTGGGTGCTCTAAGTAATTTGGCAGAAGCAGCAGTATCCTGCAAGGCTGCCCTACCCACTGACAGTACAATGCACAGACTCAATAGGAGCAAATGTGATGCCAAACTCTCAGGCACCCGAACTCCTGGAATCATCCCTTCAATATCTCCTAGAGATGGCATATGTTGAGGTTTTGCAAGTGCCATTACACAGATGTCATCTCAGCTGCTTTGGCTTCATGTTGGTCTGGCTGAGACGCAACCTCAAGCCTCTCAGGACTGTCACAAAGAAGAGGTGTTTGAGCAACCTTTCTCCCAGACACAGCTCTCAGCACCTGCTAGGTGAGAAGCTGTGATGGTGACTTTCTGAAGAGCTGTGGTGAGTGTTGTGGGCCTGAGATTTATTTCTTACAGGAGCAGAGAAGGGTCTTGCCCAGCTCTCCTTTTGCTGCCACCTGTGCTAGCTTCATTACACTGTCGTTTGTGGCTTTTCATACCCACTTTATACAGAGTACCACATTTTTTCCTGACTGCTGATAAACCTGTTTGGTGAATATTACTTCTCTCTGATTCCTGCAGGCTTCCGGATAACGTCACCTTTGAAGAAGGGGCCCTGATTGAGCCCCTTTCCGTGGGAATCCATGCCTGCCGAAGAGCTGGGGTCACTCTGGGAAGCAAAGTCTTCGTGTCTGGCTCTGGTATGGTGGACATATGGAGGCCTTGGGTTCCCTGCCTGCTACAGCTCTGTGGAATGGAGAGTGGGGAACAGGGTGCAAGCAGTGCTTCTAGGCTCAGCTCTCAGTGTGCATCGTGGTAGGACTGAGGGGACCTTGAGGCTCTCCGTGCCTGTACTGCACATTTTGAGCAGCCCTGCTCATGTGCTTGTGGATGGTGCTTTCTGTCAATTTTGCATTTTCTCTTTCTACCCAGGACCAATTGGCCTTGTTAATGTGATTGTTGCTAAGATGATGGGTGCAGCAGTCGTGATAGTTACAGGTAAGTCCTTTTAACCTGCAGGAGTCCCTGCTTCCCATGGTTTAACACTTTGACCAGTTCCTAATAATTCCCTGAAGGTAACTGCTGGGGAAGGACATCCAAGCACAGTGGAAGGTCTGTCTGTTCATGAATGCACTAATAGTGTTTTCGCCTGGAAAGAATGCTAATAAGCACCTCTTCTCCCAGGAGACCTTTATCTTTCTGCTAATTGGCATCTATAAGAAGATGCAGGTTAAAACTACTGCTTCTTTACTAGGTTAACAGCCCCAGATAATTATTTCTGCTTCATGGCAGAGACAGGTTGTGCAGGTGCATAAACCGCAGGCTAATGAATAGTCGTTGGATCAAGCTCAGAGACTTCTGGTGGACTTTGAGCAGGCCTTTGGGAAGAGAAACTGCATCTTTATGTTAAGGTTCTGTTTAACAGAATATCCCTTTGCTCCTTGTGTTTCTGATCAGTAACTTTTTATTTCCATTTTGAGCTGTTCTGATCTCAACTTTCAGCTTTTGGTTAGTATTACACGTTTGGCTCCTAGATCATGATGCCCTAAGTATCAAATTTTCGCTTCCCTGTAGGGCGTATAAACCTTGTGATTATATTTCCTTGTTAGTCTTTGCATTGATAAGACAGGGAGTCAAGGCACTGCAGTGTATTTATGCCTCTTTTGGAGCTATTCCTGGAACTTCACAGTGAACATTTTTTTTTTCTTATTCCTCTTGTAGTGATAGGTAATGGCCTGGACACAGTGTTTCCATCGTCATTTTTGTATTCAGCCACATTCTTCAATGCTCTTTTGATGCCTTTCTTATGCCCTCCTACTGGGGGTTCATTTTCAGCTGGTTATCCAAAATGACCTAAAAGGCCTTTCTTCAATAACTGTGTTCTGGGATTTTTATGTACTCTTGTATTTGGTTAGACTGTTCTTTGCTCATATCATGCTCATAGTGCCCTGGGTTGAAGTGCAGTCTTTCTGCCAACTAGAACTGGCACTGGAACATCCCATGGTTGCTCTGGTTTGATATTCAGAGGATCAGGAAAGAACTGGATTTGGAAGAGATGTCTAGAGATTGTCTAGTCCAGCCTCCTAGACAATTTCTATGAGAAATGCCGGTGTGAAGGTTTTCCCAGACATTTCTAGTCCAACTGCATCTTTCAGCAGGACTGTCACTAGCAGTGGATCAAGTCAGGTGTGTTTTTGTCTAGCTGAGTGTGGAAAACCTCTGAGAATGGACATTTATACCTCTGTGAGTGTAAAGTCCAGGATTTGCACAGCCTCCTAAGTGAAGAACTTTTTCATGAGGTCCAAATGGAATCTCCCAAACTGCAATTTGTGCAGCTCTGAAATTACTTTCTCCATCTGTCTTTGTAACTGCCCTTCTGGTTGATGTAGACTGCAATTATATCCCTCTTCTTTTTTGCCAGACTAACCCAGCTCCCACCACCTGTCCTCAAAGATCAGGGTTCTTCTCCACAGAGTTTGTCTAGAGGAATTGTTAGAGAAGTGCTAGCTGGAGCAATCTCTTGAGGCTCGCTGGTTGAAATTTCCAGCTTTTACACCTACAGGGCCTTGAGGTGTTGTTTCCATCTGCCACCTCTACTCTCTCTGATTCTTCTGGGTGCTGGTGACCAGGAGGAAGAGTTACAGATACAGCTACACAGTGAACCCAAATTGCCGCAGCATTCCTGGGCCAAAGCTGCCTCCCACTTAAGGCCAGGATTATTCTTGGCCTCTCAGTTACTATGTGTCAGTCTTCGGGTTGAGAAATGAAATTAAGGTTTCAGCCTCTTGTTATTGCAGAAACGTATTTCAGTAGCAACTTGTGTGAGAGTCCAAGGCAGATCATTGTCTTCTCCTCTCTAAGTCCTTTAACTGCTTAGTCTGGAGCATTTCTTGTTCTACTGCCCCACCCTGCAGGGGTGTGCTTGATGGATGTAATCAATGCTGGCTGTGTATTTTGCTAAGTGTTGTGTTTTGAGAATGATCGTTGCTATAGCAGGAAGAACAACTCTGGCTTTTGAATCGTGTATGAGAAACCTTGATGCAGAGTTGAGCTGATGCGGGACTCATTGGTCACCCAGTCCTTGGGTGTGGGAGTTGGTGGGGCTTGTGTTGCTGGGTCACTTTGCTGTCCCAGCCCTTGTCATGCTGCCTTGAGCCTTGTCCTGTCTGGGCATAATATTCTCCCCTGCAGTCTAGGAAACCGCTGTTTCTTCTCAACTGCTCTTGCGTCAGCAGTTTATATGGCATATGCTGAATGGCTCCACATGGCCATAGGAAGCTCTTGGTGCTTGGTTTGTAGGGTCAGGAAGTTGGGCTACATAGAATTAACCCCATCTTTAACTTTTGACCTTAAGTAGTGATCCTGACTTGTAGATATCTTTGCATCACCTGCGTGACAAGCGGTCAGGCAAGAGGCTCAGGTACGCCCAGGCTGGTGCTGTCCCTTGTCAGTTATTTAATGCATGTCATGGTCAGAAGAATGGATTTTCTTTGGCTCTTTGCCCCAGGGGATTTTGCTGTCCTTCTCAAGGAACTGCTTTTTATGTTGGCATTACAGCCAACACCTGTGAGCTAATTGTCTACCCACAAAGGTGCTGTTGTATTTTGCTGCTACATTTTTTGAATTCATCGCCTGGAGTTGTTAGAAAGCATTTTTCTGTGAAAAGCTTTGTCTACACAACACGTTTAAAACTGATTCATATTTATGTTTCTTTAGAGAAGCTGCATGCAAATATAGAAATCTACAAGTTTTATGTTTTTTTTTTCCTAACCTGTGGAGAACTCACCTTCTGTGGCTTCATCAGGGGAGTTCTGTGGCACAGCTCAACCCAGCAAGTTTTGGAAAATGAGGTTTTTTTTTCAGAGAGCCAGGTCCCTTCCCTATCATTTCTGGAGAAATGCTGGCATCATAGTTCAAGGCTAACATTCAGCTCTACCCTTCCTAAGGCCTCGCCTGCACCACGGTTTGGCTTTCTTCCCATCTATGGTGGCTTTCCTGATAAAATATATTGGCACTTTCTGATAACACTTGCTCCTTTCCCAGAAGTGATTAAGTCCTGGTAAAAGTGGTGTTCCCTCATTCGGTGGGTTGCATGCAGTTGGGCGCAGAAGAGATGGGTTGATTTGTTCTGTGACACTTCATCTTCTCTAAGGTCTCAAGCTTCCTGCACTGTACTGTGGTAGGGGAGTGACCGATATTTATAGGGAGCATTCTTCTGTCCTTCTTTGCTACACACATTGCTGCTACTCTGAAAAGCTGCTTTTCTCCTTAAAAGGATCTAAAGGAGCAGTCTTATTCCCCAGAAAGTGCAGTGACAATCTGGGTATTCCTATGACAGTGTTAGGCCTTGCTCAGCCTGTCACTGAAAGGGACACTTAGTAATCCCCACACAAGAAAAATGACCCATTTTGCTAAATCCTACATCCATGTTGCTGCTGTCTTGTGCTCCAGAAAGCCTGGAAGTCTGGTTGGGGAAGATGAATAGTGATTCAAGTTCTGTGTGAAGGATCAGCAACATAGAAAGTCTAAGAGCTTCAGGGATTCAGGAGCCGATTAAATTGGATCCACTGGTTGACCATCACAAGAAGCTTAAGCATAATCTGATCACTTCTGTGGGAGCAGAATTAGAAGAATGAGCTATTTTTAGTTTGTCAGACAAAGCCATAATTACCTCTGGTGTCTGGATGTGAAAAGAAAATTCTGACTCCAAGCAAAATACACCTCTAATTGTATAACTGATCAGTTCCCCAAGTGCTGCATTGAGTTCAGCCTGGCTTAAAATCCATATGGCAAACTCACAAATGTCTGAGTTCTGGATAATACAGTGACCTTCTCATTTATATAACTCATGATCTGTCAGCCTCAGTCCGTGTTTAGCAACGATTCACTTACGCCAGCTGTAAAAGGATGTTCTTACAGTCCTGACTGAGTCTGATAGTGCTGCTGGTGTGATCCATACACCTCCTCTACAAAGAGGGCTTAGTTTCTGAGCAGATCTGCAAACTAGAGGACAGCTATAGGAAAAAATGTGGAATATTCTCTGTGAATTTTGCTGCCTGTAAGCTACTTTTGCAGCCGCTTTGAGGTACCTTGGCTGACAGGGTGGGTTTTCTCTCTAGAAGTCATTCTATTTATCCTGTGGCAGACCGCCTGCAAGAATACTGCCTCTGGATGTGGTTCTGTCAAAGGGACAGTATAAAATATACTCACAAATGGTAAAGTGTGACAAATGGGTGAATTCAGCTGTCTGCTGCATGTAGGTGTTCCAAACAGGTGTTTTGGGGGAGTTTGGGCCATTTTTTGAGGAGTACATTTGAGCCCGGGGTCTCTTGCCCATCCACGTTGGAGCGTGTTGGAGACTCCAGCAGTGCCAGGCTGAAGAGCTTCTTGAGTCTTCAGGTGCCTTGAAAAGAGCAACTTCTGCTCCTGAAGGGTCTCAGAGTGCAGCTCAACTCACAGAGCCTTGAGCATGCCTACATATGGCTTGAGCCTCAACGCTCAGGGCTTGGGAAGGACAGGTCTGAGTAATGCCTCCTTCAGCCACAGGAAAGAGAGCTCAAGCCAGCGCTTCCAGAGAGACGTTACTCTTATTTTTCAGCCTTGAGTTTTCCCACTGCATTTGCATTTTATTACCTTTTGTTCTCCCTTTTTGAAACACCCTCCACAGGTCTCCTGGGTACTCATCTTTGTGGGTGTGCCTTTTGAGCCTTCTTGCTGCTAGTAAGGGCATGTCTATGGCCTGCTTTCCAGTAACGTCACATTTGCCATGTGAGAGGCAGGGCAGATCCTCCAGCCTTGCTTCCTCCCAGTGTGGAGGCTGAGTCAGAGTGGTTCATGTCAGCACAGTGGCCTTGACAGGATTAGAGATGTCTCTCTGTCTTCCATTCTCCATTTTCCTTCATTATTTTTCCGTGGCCCTTATCTCTGATTTCTCTGAAGCCAGAAAAGAAACTGTGCCCTCGTAGGAGGAGTATGTTCACTGAGGTGGTGTCTTGGAGAGACAACTTGGGAAAGCTGTAGTTTTCTGAGTTTCAAGGCTAGGATCACTGCCTGGAGAGACTTGCCCATTCCACCAGCTCTGCATTTGAGGAGTCTTGGCTATTGCAGCTAAGTTTCCATCTTTAATCCAGACTTCTCTTTCAGTGCAAAGACACAGGCCTCTTCGGACCGCTGCTTCAATACACAAAAAGAGAAAGTTTCTGCCTTTGAAGTGTCACTATTCTCTTCTACACTCTGCCTCCTCATGTTCAAAGATGTTCTGGCCCTATTGGGGACTGGAGGGGGCTGAGTAAGTTCCTTCCAGGCAACGTGGAAGAGAAGATAGGAGCAACCTGGATACACAGAGCAGCTTGATCCATGGTGTGGGCCAGGACTTCAGCTTCAGCCAAGAAGAATTTGTCAGTCATCGGCATGTCAGGACAGGTTAGATGAATGTTCTCAGCTTTAATGAGGTGTGTTCTTTCTTGGGTCACTCAAGGTGAGTTCTCCTTCAGTACAGTTCAGTTTTCTTGAATTTGCGAAGCAGAGATGTCTGCTCGGGTATGAGACATTACTATGTCCATGATGGTCCTGGTCTCCTGGTGTGCTCCTGTCCAAACTGGCCAGCCACAGTGTGCTGTCTCACATGTGGCCAGTCCCTTGGCTAAGGCTGAACCTTGCTAGTGCTGGCTGTGTGCTGAAGCAAGTTGTTTCTTCACCTTGCCTCCTCTAGAAGACCAACTGAACTGCGATGGCAACTGATCCAAGCCCAGAGATGGACAAAGAGGGATAACTTCTTGAGGCTATTAGTTATGGGCTATCTTTGATTTTTAGGTCTTTAAGACATATATTTATGGAACTGTAAAGATTTCTCTGGACACAGTACCATAGTACAGCCATGCCTTCACAGACATTTATCTTCACCTGTCTTATTTCTCTGTGTTAATGGGATATCATAGGCTCAATCTACTGTCCATAATGGGGGTTCTCTTAAATTCTTGCCTTATAATTGAGTTGTGGCAGAAACTGCCTTGAGAACCACATAGCAGCTTCTGACCCTATTGTAAGAAGAGTAAAAGGATGGGAGATGTCTGTGACAGCAGGGTCATACTTAGTGTTGCCAACTAATAATACATTATGCAGTTTGCTCAGCTGAAGGCATCTACTGATGGTTCACTGAGGAAGGTCTCAGAGAGCTCTTGACCTCCTTTAATCTGGCATCATTAGAAGCTGAATGGCCAGATTAATGATCCTTTGAGCCCATGGTGAGGTCTCCTGTCAAGAATGCTTCTTGGTGCTCTGCCAAGGGATTCCCAGCCATAAAGGAGCAAGCTCAGAGTGCCTGCAATGCCTAGGACGTTCTTGAGGAAAGAACATGAGCAAAAACGATGTATCTTGTCTTGAGAGTCAGGGAAGGAAAATACAAAAGAAATGACAGGTGGAATTTGCCTAATTGTTAGGCTCCCGTCTAGATTAACTTGCTGAGCTTTGTATGTTGTGCTTTTCTTACAGTCCTGTTCCACTAGTGGATTAAGGTCCCCGCTGAATTAGTGAAGTTGCTTCATGAAAGAGTCATTCCCAGAAAGGCACTGAGCAATGCAGGATTAGACAGTGTCAGCTGGCAGCTTTGGTAAGACATAACTGCACTTTTCAAGCAGGTGAAGTGCAGCTTAGCACTCCCCCATCTGTCCTGTCCTTCTGCTGCCTCTCGCCTTCTCCTGCTCTAAGTTTCCTCTGCTCTGCAGTGAGTGTTGGGACTGCAGCATGCATTGGCCCAGGGCAATCACAGCAGCAGCACAAACACAGCAGTGTGACTAGCAGATGTGTGCCAGCGCTTGGTCACAGCCCTTCGTATCGCAGTCACATTCCTGCTTGTAGCTTCAGTGCGCATGCTTTTTTGGACTTCAGCGTGGCCTTCTGATCTTCCTTGGCACTGTTGCCTCTTGGTGCTTCTGAGGGGCAATTTGGAGACCTATGAAATGATATTCTTTGAAAAACAGCCCTTGAGTCTCGCTTCAGAGGATGTGCTTTTATCAGTGAATTTGGGGAGTTTGTGTTTTGCCTCTTTGAAGCATTCTTGCCCCTGCAGTGGAAAATCTTTGGCATCTCTTGGGTCTTAAGTTGTCCTCATTGCTCATCCTTCTCTGCCTGCCTAGAAAAATGATCATATCTCCTTTCCACCTACTCACTGACAGCTGTGAGAATTGGAGAATGTACTTAGACCCATGCCTTGCCTGGTAGCGTGCTCCTCTATGAACACATGTTCAGACTCTGGAGAAAAGTGCCTGCATCTGGGCTTCTTTGGGGTGGCCTCCGATATATTTTAAGAGTGGGCATTCTTTTCATTTGCACAAGCGACATAAATTTTGAGAAAATAATAGAGAGCTGTAATTTCCCATCTTGTCCATAGCACATAACAAATGCTAGTTTCTTCCCTGAGATAGCTGACAGCTGGTCACCCAAGAAGGTGGCTCTGTCACCACTGTCAAGACATCAGAAAGTGGTAAGAAGTAGATTGCAAGCCCGTGTTGATACTGGCCTCTGCTTGCCTCTGCTTTATACACTTCTCCAGTTGTTGACTTGTTTCATCTTCCTCCAGATTTATCTGCCTCTCGCCTGCAGAAAGCCAAGGAGGTAGGGGCAGATAACATCCTTCAGGTAAAGAATGAGACCCCACAGGAGGTGGCCTCCAAAATAAAAAGTCTGCTTGGCTGCATGCCCGACATAACTGTGGAGTGTACGGGAGTAGAAGCCTGCATCCAGGCTGGCATTTATGTGAGTATCACTTCTTCGTGCAGCAGAGTAGTCCTGGCATTTGCTTTCTTCTTTATGGAACACAGCAGCGAATGACTTTATTCTCCTCTCATAGTGCTTAGTCTTGGAGTTCTTGATATAGGAAAAAGAAGGCACTTGTTAGAGAACAAAATAAGACGTTTAAGCAGAGCTGTGTCTTTACAGACATCATGGGGACAATTGTCTGATTCGATGCTCAGATACATTAGCACCAAAGAAATACTCAGATACATTAGCAAAACTCTGAAACCAGAGCATGGCTAAAAAGCAGCGTGAGGGAGCTCGTACAAGAGGAAATCTTTGATGAAGTAGAAGCTATGGCCAAAGGGGGAGAACAATAGAGAGTGTAAGTTCAGCAGATGAAGAAGGCAATTAGAGAGGGTGTCTTGTTGTCCTCACCTGCCTGACGGGAGGTTGTGGAGGAGATACTGTAGGCTCTACTTAAAGATTCAAAGTTAAAGGGCAAGAAACAAAAGGTGCAAGTTGCAAAAAGAGAAATTCTGGCTGTATACAAGGACAAGAAGCTTTTTCTGTGAGAGGAGTGCAGCCCTGGGACAGGCATGAGAGAGGTAGTGGAAATCTCCATCCTTGAATGGATGTAACTGAGCCACTTAATCTCACTTTAAACAGGGGTCTGACTTTGAAACTGGCCCAGCTTTTAGTAGGAAGTTGGACCAGACATCTCCACTGGTCCTTCAATTCACATTTTTTTTCTTTTGATTCAATATATTGCAAAATCGAAGGCAATTGAAAGGAGAGTTTCAAGAGCAACTTGTAAAACGCATAAAAAATATGAGAAAACTCTGCCTTTTGCAAGCACTTTGGGAGCAGGAGACCTGCAAGGGAATCCATAAACCTGGTAAACAATCAGGAGATAAAGTCACACATACTTGTTAGATAGATGTACTCTGGGTCTCTGTTCATCCTTACCAAGACTCTCATATGGAAATCCTTCCTTGAAAGGTGAGCTCCAGGCAACTCCTGCAGAGTGAACTGCCCAAATCCCCTTTGCAGTGGGATCGTGCCCGTGTCCCCTCCAGTCTTTTCTCTCCTAAGAAACACCCCACTGCTTTTATCCTGCCCTCTTAATCTTCCAACTTTTTGACAGCATGGCAGTGGTGGTAATTCCCCAGGCATATGCTCACCTCCAGGATTGTTCAAGAACCCGTCCCAAAGGAGTGATTAAGTTGTAGCTGTGAATTTTAACAACATGATATAGAGACAACATAGGAAAAATCAGGGGATACAGTATTAGGAGTTATTTGTTGTTAGTAATTATCTTCATTCAGGATAAAAATAGAAACAAGGAGAAAATAGAATTTTTATATATTCAGAAGTTAATGCTATTTTTAAAGAGACTCCACAAAGGAGTTTCTGCAGGCCTGTCATTTAATTTTAAGCTTGTAGGATCCTGTGTATTTTTCACAGGATATGGAATTTGACATGACTTGTGTTTTGAATGATGAGTGATCCCCTTGGTAAGGCTCAGCAGACCTTAGATTATGCCCCTGATTTTGGTGCTGGTTTGCTGGCTGACTCTGGGCCAGGCATATCTGATCCAGTTCCTCAGCTGCCTTTCCTTTGATGCGTGGACTTTATGAGGTCTCAATTGCAAGAAAAGCTTTTGCATAATGCTGTGATGTGAATATCGATTTCCCCAGCTTGCCTGCTGTGTCTTGGCTGTGTAGCACTGTACATCGTTTGAGCATACCAGGCAGTACAAGGGCATTTCTGCCAGTGGAGCATAAGTAGGCTTGGTCTACTCTTAATCTAGCCATACATTTCCTGCAGGCTTGGCACCAAGCATCCTGATGAGGATGTTCCTGCTGCCTGTAGTCCTAGCTTGGACTTCAGAGGCTAGGATGTACCTAGGAGGGTAGGATATTTCCAGGTATGAAGGATGGTTAAGGAAAGGGGCGTAGTAGTTTCAAAACCTCTCTAAAGCCCCACAGGGATGTGGCCACCTGTAAATTGGTGAGGTATTTTCTAACTTGCCCCACAGCTAGGTGACTATGTGCTTTTTAAAGCCGCTTTGTGGCTCAGCTACGTGTTAGGCACATATGAACTGGGAATATCTGGCTTTTAGACATTTTACATCTCTCTCACTGAAAATCCTCAAAGCCTTTGGTACACCTCAGTGCCAGTTATTTTTCAGAATGGGGTTTAGATACCAAAGTCCTTCAGGAATTTTTAGAAAATTCACAAATATATCACACTTACAGACTCCTTGTCTTCTCTGCTGTGCTCCAGGCAATCCATTCCAGCCACAAGGAGTGATTTTTACAGTCTGCTGCGAAGGCTCTGGCGGTGGTGACTAACTTTGTTTAACAGGATTTAACACATTTTTGTGTGTGTTCCGCAGGCCACTCGTTCTGGCGGGACCTTGGTGCTGGTGGGACTGGGGCCTGAAATGGTCACCGTGCCCATCGTGAACGCCGCTGTGCGGGAGGTGGATATCAAGGGAATATTCCGCTACTGCAACACGTGAGTCTTGTGCGGTACAGGGTGGGATGAAGTGTCTCAGAGGGGCTCATCCTCAAGAAATTCTTGCTTTCCACAAGGAGAAAGGAAGGGGAAAGCTTTTTTTTTTACTTAAAACCAGTTAAGGCTCATATCTGTGAAACACCAGCACACAGGACTGACAGCCTGGCTGATTTATCGTGTACTTTAAGCCTCAATTACTGCAACAGCCTTCACTGCAAACCTGATCACAGTAAAGCAGGCCAGTCCGTCAGCTGATGAGACCTCCAGCCCTCAGTGCTTTCCACTTCTCTGCCCTATAGAGAGGGAGAGCCTTGTGCTGTGCGCATTTTGGAGGAGTTTGGCTTGCCTGCAGGTGGACTGGCTTGTTGCAAAAACCACACAAATTCCCCTTGCTTCCTGGTGCTGCGAAAATTATTATTATAACAAAGTTTGTCACTTCCCTGCTCTTTCCTTGGGGCGCTTGCTGAGCATAGGTCTTTGTAGAGTCCTCCTGGATGCAAACTAGCCACTGCTCTCACGTCCTGCTCTACCTTTCCCTTCCAGGTGGCCCATGGCAATTGCTCTTCTTGCGTCCAAGCGCATAAACGTCAAGCCCTTGGTTACACACCGCTTCCCCCTGGAAAAGGCTCTGGAAGCATTTGAGACCACTAAGAGGGGTGAGGGAATAAAAGTCATGCTGAAGTGTGACCCCAGTGACCACAACCCCTGAGATGCAGCAGTGCCGGCCCTCTCCCCAGTTAACACTGCCTGTACGTGACTTGATGGAAGAGGCCATGGGAAGCTGACCTATGGCTGTTGCATGTTCTCATGGTCACTTCAGGCAGACACTTGTTTGTAATAGAGTTCTACAATCAAATTAGAATCAGGGTGAAGAAGCACTGAGGGATATTTGCAGCCAACCATTTGGAAGAACCAACAGGAAATAGTTTGAGGCAAAATGCTGCTCTTTGGTTAGACACCTTGATTGCCACACAAGGCTCTTCCCAGCAGACCATGTGCTCTGAAGAGCTGGAGTTCTTCTACGGGCAGAGCGCTTCCCTTGTGCGTGCTCCCAGAGGCACCCTTGTGGTCCTGCGGGTTTGTCTGGGCACAGATGGTAGGAGGACGTTGCCTGTGTCACAGACATAAAAGAGCCTTGAATTCGGAACCTTGCTGCCCTGAGATTTTGCTTAACACTACTCTTCCCACATACAAATCCCTGGGTCCAGGATACCTGTACTTGAATATTCTGCCTACCAGTGGCACATGTCCTTGAGGATGCTCAGGGATTTTAATAGCCTGTGGAACAAAGTCTGATGAGCCCATTTCCATGGAAAGTATCCTTAGGTTCAATTGATTCCCTCCATGCTCTTTGCAAATGGCTGTGGAATACACTGCAGGCCCACAGTGCAGAGCTTAAGGCTGGTTGGGCTGTGTTGGCCATGCCCCCACTGCCACTCCCAATGGGACAGAATGGACTGTTGCAGAGCTGACTGGAGTGTGCTTGCAGCAGAACTGCCCTGTCTCCATCTGGGAGGGCAGAGTGGCCGATCTTGACTTGGGTGACCCGTAGGTACAGTTGGCCATGGCCCTCAAGATGGCCTGCTGGGAAGGGTGCAGGTTTTGTTGGTGTGTAGGGATGGATGGGAAAGAGGTGAGGGGACAGCATCACTCAGAGGTTTTACCACTGCAAAGGAATTGCGCTCAATATCAGAGAATTACAAAACGATTGAGGTTGGAAGGGACCTCTGGAGACCATGTAGCCCAAACTCCCTGCTCACGCAGGGACAAATATCAGAGCTTCCTGCTGCTGTGTTTAGAAGCTGTGAATGTGGTACTAGTGTTGCAACAAGTTGTCGTTAACAAAATTTAATTGTAGATTACAGTTGTCTTTAATTCTACCAGCTGATCTATTCAAGAACCCTCTCTTGGGCCGGTACCAAACTTCATCCAATAAATGGTTCCTCCTTGATGGTTGTATGTACCTTGAAGCTTTGGGGAGTTGGTTTGGAGGGGTCTGTGGTTTTGTGGCTTGGGGACCTTGCTCCTGTTGCAGCACATGGTCCTGTGTGGTTCAGCAAGGAGAGCCGAGAAGGCTGGTCCTTCAGAAACCTCCCTGCAGGTCCTGCACTGTGCTCAGCTCAGTGGTTGGGAGGTGCCCAATCCCAACGAACCATCACCTCTAGTTACACCAAAAGCTGAGAAATGACTGAGAAGGACTTCGGGGTGACAGGGCTGTGCTGGATCTCTGGTGCATATAGATACAGATAAACATATAGGGCCCCACGGCAGGAGGCACTGCAACTGCAAGGACATTGCAGCAGGTAAGATATTGCAGCAGAAGCTGCGCCTGGGCTCATCTCATAACCCCCATAAACAACATTTAGTGACAAACCAAAAACCAAGGCTGTTTTAAGTCAGAACAACACCCCACCCTGCCCCGCTTTTCTCATGCCGTGCAACCAAAGCAAGGGAAACTCAGCTCTTCCCATTTAACCTGAATGTTTCCCAGGCAGATGGGACAAACGCTGTGCAAGAGCCAAACACTGCACTGCCAGTGCATGCGAGGTGTCTGAGGTGCAGTGACAAGAGACAAGAAAATGATTTAAAGTGGTGGTCAGCTTTATTTAAGCAAAGAGGAATGCTATTGCTCAGTCATAGCCCGGGAGAACGGCAGCTCAGTGATGCATAGTCAAGCATTGGTTAAACAAGCATGAATGATCCCTCAACAAACGCTAGTGGCATTGCTGGAAGAAGCCAACGCAACCACAACTAAGGCCCTGAGCAATCTGAGGCGAAGCTGGGAGTGCTAATGAGTACAATAGGGAAACCGAGCCCACTTCCCAGAGAGGGACGGTGGGGAGAGCATTGGCTCTGCACACTGTGCAAGGTGCCCTGGATTAGGGTTGCACAGGAGCTAAGCTGCTTCCAAAAGCTGTTCAGAGGAGTTCCAGGTGACCCTGTGGAGCCTGTATTTTACTGTCTTGTAGGATTGAGGCAGCAAGGCCTCACTGGAGTTGAATGAAGGGATTTCTGCATGGGAACATGCACTTTGACAGCCTGATGCCAAGGTGGAGGATGCAGGAGTGCACAAAACTCGGTGCATGGGTGGTATCAGGGTGCTCTAGGCCAGAGGGACATGGGAACTGTGCAGGCAATGCTGTACTAGGACACCGAGTGCCTTATTCTCAGCTCTGTTCCTTCCCCAGCTCCCATGGGCCAGGAGTTGCAGATGGGATTTTCTTTGTGACCGCAGCTGGGGGAACTATCCCAAGTGTTGTCACACATGCATTTCCAATTCAGATGCCTTGGTGTCACTGTGAGAGGCCAGTGCAGGTGCATGCCCGGATGTGCCCCAAGGAGAGTACCCACTGTGATAGCTGGCTCCGACAGGAGCATGATCTGCAGATGGAACCATGCTTGCTAGAGGGTCCTGGGATGTGGCTCCTGGCCAGAGGGCAGGTGAAGGCAAGGCCATGCCCAAACCCATCTCTCTGCTGCAAGCAACTCAGGGAGGAAAAGGGCGGGGCATAGAATCAGAAATTCTCGTAGTGATGCACAAAGTAAGCCTGGTCCTTCTTGTTAACTTGCTGACAGGCCTTTTCCACACTCTTCGTCATCCCAAGTGGGCCACAGCTGAACACCCCAATCTTCTGCACCTGGGGAAAGAGGGAGGCCAAAGGGATGTTGAGTCTGGTGCCATGAGCTCTCCCCCCAGCCTAGTCACCACTGAGCTTGCTGAGGAGTCTTCCAGGGACTTCCCATGGAGTCACTAGGGCCATGGAAGAGGGATGAGGCCTCTAGGGATGGGCTAGGACCAGGGATGTCACTGTTGGCTGCCCTGGCCAGTGGATGCCCCCTCCTACTCCCATGCAGGTGACCAAAGCCCAGACCAGGTAGCACAGACCTCAGGGTGCACCTCCTGCAGCGAGGTGAAGAAAGGCAAGAACGGAGGCCGCCCAAAATGGGTGATAGAGCGCAGTCCTGTGAACAGGCTCCGGTTCAGCACCTTCTGGAAGTGCCGCTCACAGATGTACTGAAAGAGACACCAGGACACATTAGACCAGCACGGCTCAGGCACCGGGCTAGGAGCCTCTCTTGTGGGCTGCCTTGGCATGGGGCTTACCAGCATGGTGGTGCGCAGGTCAAACTTCTCAGCCAGCTGCGTGATGTAGATGTGCACAGAGACCAGGCTGTTCTGGTCGGCCTCCTCCACCTCACGGATGATGTCAGCCAGCCACTCGAACTGCCGCTGCGTCCGCGTCACCCAGATGAAGTAAATCTGTAGCATGCAGGGAATGAGATTCAGTACAGGGCCAGGACTAAGCAAGGGGGTCCTTTCTTGGTAGATTTTGTTTAATCTCACTCCCAAAGAGGCCAGAAGCAGCACAAGGTGATTTAGGAGGGCTCTTGCCCTCTGCTTCCTCTCACCTTTTTACACAGCAGCTTGGAGCTGAAGGATGACTTGAAGACTAGGTCCTTGAGAATGGATGCAAAGGGCGTCACTCCGATGCCTCCTCCCACCAACACCGACACCTCGAACTTGTTCCACTCCTGGTGACCCTCCCCAAAAGGTCCGTCAAGGTAGAGCTGGAAAGGAACTGCCTCTTAGCAAAGCATCTTTCTCCTCTACTCACCCAGAGCTTAGCCACCTTCAAGGCTTGGGCTTCAAGTGCCTTGGGTTTGGCTTAACTCAGCTTTGGACCTGAAAGCTGCCTGCCCTTAGAGAATCCCCATCTCTGGAGCTGCAGCCCCAGATGCGCAGTGCTGAGCTCACCTTGGGCAGCTTGCCGATGATGGCCAGGCTCTCTGGGGAGTAGAGCTCCCGCAAGCGGGTAGTCCAGGGTCCCACAGCGCGGATGTGCAGGCTCAGCGTGTCCTCGTGCGGTGCTGAGGTCAGGGTGAACGGGTGGTACTCAGTGGTGCCAAGGTCCACACAAGCAATGCGCACCCACTGGCCTGACTTGTAGTCAAAGTCGTGTGGCCTCTGGAACTGGAGATGGGTCACACCTGGGTAGTGGGAGTAACAGAGCACTTGAGACATTGAATAGTGGAAGAAAAAGCTAGGAAGGATCAGTGGCCTCAAGGAAAGGTGGAATATTTGACCTGTGCTAGTGCTAGGAGGATGAGGTTTAAGGATGAGCCATGGATTCAGACTCGGGTAAAGGATACCCCAATAGGCTGTGCCAGGGCATGCTGTGGGGACCATGTAGTTCTAACTGATCCCTACTCAGGGAGGGAAAGCTATTGTATGTGCCTCCGTTTCTCTGTCTGTGGAAGGCCACCAGGAGACCCTTGCCATGCATGGGTGCTGGGAAGGCATTGGGCAACCTATAGAACCAGAGAGAACAGGACTGTTCCCCTATGTGGAGGGATTATGTGACACCAGCAGGACATCTTCCAGGGACAGAACAATCTGTGTGCCACTCGGGTCAGGGATTGCTGCCATGGGGTATCTCTGCACTTCAATACCAGCAGGACGGGAAAATTCATCCCCTGAGGAGCTGCTTCCTCCACAGCTCTCCCTAGGCATGGCCTAGCCTGGCACTGTGAGGCTGTGTGGATGTGGTACCTGAGGGAAGGAGCTCAGCTTTCACCACACCAATCTCCACCTTCTTCCTGCTCAGGCTGAGCAGCTTGTCTGCGCCATAGATGAGAGCCGGGATAATGAAAAAGATGTGGAAACGGGGCTGCTGGATCAGAGCGTAGCTGCCGTGGATGATGATCTGGGGAAGAGAAGGGAGCGGCCCCCATCACTGCAACACTCAACCCAGCAAGCCATCGCCCCGTGGTTAACTGGGTGGCAGCTCATTGGTAGCATGGAGATGGGAGGGTCTGAGGATGGTGGAAGGAGCAAGGATCCAGGCCGTCAAGTTCTTTTGAGTACTGGGTCCTGTAGACCTGCCTGGCTATTTCCCCTGCTGCTCCTTGGTGTTTGGGCTGAGCTTTGGGCTTGCAGTACATCAGCACCACCTCTTCCCTCCCTGCCCAAGAGCTGGGCTGGGAGGAGACTTGTCTTACCAAGACATAGAGCAGCACATAGAGATGGTGGCTGATCCAGAAGCCCTGGAAGCTGACATGCCGGAAGTGGTGGGTGGCAAAAACATACATCACGGCAAGAATTACAAGCAGCAGCACTCCTGTCATGCCTGCAAGAGAAGGTGTTGGGAGACCCAGGGTGGCTCAGGCACATGAGCAAGCATAGGGCACAACGTATACATCCTGACTGTTAGGCAGTCTTACCTGGGATAGTTTGGAAGAACCACCAGTAATACTTCTGAGGGAGCTGTGACCTAGAGAGGTACAAGTAAATGCAGCCATGGATCATGGATTGGGCAGAACAGGGATAAGTGTAACAGTTGTCTCAAAAGTTTTCACTTCCCTTCCCATCTGTGTCCAGGATATTCTGCCTGGACTGTCCTTCAAACCGCACCTACCCATCATTCATAAAAACACTGGAGAAGAGGCAGGACAACACACTGAGAGGGCTGACCGAGAAGATGTAGACGTTCACTACATGGCCCGCAGTGTGTAGCACTGTAGAAGACAGAGACCAGTGGAGAAAAGCATTGTCACTGCAGTAGACTGACACATGGAAGACCTTGCTGATATGTCCAGCAGCCCAGTGATTACTCCTGTTCTGCAGTG